ATCCTAAGTTGAATTCTTTACAGATTGATACGATTTACTGTTTGTATTAAACCACGTCAACTAATTTAGGAAAGTTTGAAAACTGTACCGTTTTGAAATAAAGAAAATTCACCATACTTTAACGACGTTAACATCGTTCTCTCTCCTCATCTTTTCCTAAAAAGATCACTCTCTCTCTCTCTCCTCTTGCTTATTCCCACAATTGGGGATATTTAAGCCTTCTGTAATGGATTTTACAGTTTAAATTTCAAAAAAGAGAGGAATTTTACAATTTAAATTTCAGAAAAAAGAGAGTGAAAAAAGAGAGGAATTTTAAAAGAGAGGAATTTTACAATTTAGATTTCAGAAAAAAGAGAGTGAAAAAAGAGAGGAATTTTAAAAGAGAGGAATTTTACAATTTAGATTTCAGAAAAAAGAGAGTGAAAAAAGAGAGGAATTTTGCAATTTAGATTTCAAAAAAAGAGTTTGAAAAAAGAGTGAATTTTGCATTTTAGCTTTTAGAAAAAGAGAGTGAACCAAAGTTTCTAGGCGCCAAAAATCGTGAGAAAGAATATTCATTTTTGGGTGATCTTTTTCGGAAAAGATGAGAGAGAGAGAATGACGTTAACGTCGTTAAAGCATGGTAAATTTTTCTTATCTCAAAACGGTGTAGTTTCTTTCTTTAAATTAGTTGACGTGTTTAACAAAAGCAGTAAATAGAATTTAAATGTGTGTCAATCTCATAGAATTCAACTTAGTATAACTTAGAAAAGATTGAACTTAAAAGATCCAAGTCTCATATTCCAAACCCACCTATATGCTTTCCTTTTAATACAAAGTCACTATCACTATTTCTAACTTCTAAATTTAATATTTACTAATACCACTAATTATAACAATAAAAGTAAGTACCAAACAAATAAAAATAGAAATCGCTTCACCTCTCGGACGTTTCACTACCACTGATCGGAAATTTTGTTTTCTTTGATGTCTTTTTGTAACTTTACATATTAGTTGCCTTTCATACCTTTTTTACTTGCCAAAAAAAATGATGATAGTGAAAACGAAAATAATGATAGTATAATAATAGCAGTATTAGAAAATACTAAGAAAAATAACTAATTTATAAAGGACATATGAAATTTTATAGATTTTTGTTATTATAGTAGAACTAGAAAAAAGATATTGTGCCACTTATTATGACAAATAAGTAATTGGAATGTGTTTACAACTAGTTATAATCTAGAATAAAATAAAACAAAATTAATAAGAAAGATGAGACAATTTGTAACAGGGGTGAGAGAAAAATAGATTGAATGTCTAATTTTTAAATAGCATGCATTTTGAGAGGTATATAATAATTTAAATTGTAATCTATTAAATTTTTTATAAGTGAAGTGTTGTGCAAATCACATGTTATCTTAAGTTGATTAAGTGGATAAAAAAATAAAAATTTTATTTTTAACTTTTTATTATTTTTCAATGTTTTGAATGTCAATAATGTAATTTTTAAGTCAAGAATGCAATTTTCTAATACTTATAATTTTTTTTTAAAGAAAAAAAAATTTCAATTAGTATGAAATGTGATTTCGTGAGGTGAATAGATTTTTATTTTTATTTTTGAATACTTACCTTTTATTGTTATAATTAATTATATTAATAAATATTAAATTAAAAAATTAAGAAACTACAAATTGTGATAGTGATACCATTAGATTTCATCGTAGAAAGTGCAGAAAAAATTTCTTGCTCCACTGGAGCAAGAAATCACTACGATATATGTATATATATATATATATATTTTATGAGTGATTGTTGAGTATATTGCAGTAATTATTAAGATCACAGTGATTTCTTCCCCACGCCCATCCAACCCCACCAAACAAAACCTCTGCAAACCCAAACTCAAACACAGACTGTTACCGTCGCCAACCACCGCCACCACAGCCTCTCAGTCGTCATCAAACCTCTTCGTCATTGTCGGAATTTTGTACAGCCGTCTTTCTCGCCGGAAGCTGTTACCAACTTGATCTCCTTCGCAAAGGTCTGTTTTGTATTTGGGAAAGACCGTAGTTGGGGTTACTTTTTATAACCCGACCCGCAATCTGTTTATCCGGATCCAGTTCTGAAAGTATTTCCCAACAGCCCAGATTTGCATCTTTTTGGATACAAGATTCAAACCAAGCCCAGTTCGAAAATCAGAACAGAACTGAACCAGATTTGTACAAGTCCTGTCCAACCAGTTTTTTGAATTACTATTTCAGTTCTTGCAGCCACTTTTTGGGTAATCTTGAGGGGAGCTACACAGGACTTCAGAAAAAGGTACATATTCCTTTATCAATTTGATTAGTTAAGAAATTTGCAATAAAAAGGTCATAATTGAATACGTTTGATTATTGAACCCAATTATTTGTTTTAATTCCTCTTTTATTACCTTCCATTGCCCATTTACCTTTAATATCGCTTTATCAACTTCTATTTTATTTTTGCCCTTTATTTCCTCTTAAAATTGTTTCTAAAAAACATTCAACATCTGCATCAATTTTACATAATCACTTTAATTGCATTAGTATTTTCGCTTGTGCATTGCCCTTGTTTCCGCAGGGGTGGAGCCAGGATTTCAACTCGGGGCCGAAAAAAAATTAACTTTATAAATATAGATGGTTCAAATCAAGGAGCAAAGAATGGAAAAAATCATTGCAAAACAATATGTTAAACCAATGACTAGTATAAAAATTTGTTTGGTAATATTTAGGTCTTTGTATTTTGAAAGCCACGGATGAAAATTACAATCATTGACTTCATAAATTACATTAATAAATTAAAATAAGGAGAGAAAAAAAATTACCTACTACATACATCATACATAAGTGCCAAAGGAAGAATGTGGAAAAAAAAAAGGAAAGATAAATGAGAACTTTCAAAAGGAAAAAACAATAGAGTTTGATTGAAAAAGGAAATGTTAACTTTTTATTTTTCTAAGGAAATTAAAAGAATTTGAAGATTAAAGGAGAGAAGAAATAAAAAAAAAATTAAGAGATAATTTTAGAGGGGACATTATATATATATATATATATAATGACAAATCACCATATATTGCAATGGGCTGGGCCAAGTCAGGGGCATGTGCCCTTGGGCACAGACTGGCTCTGTCCCTGATTGTCTGTAATTTGATTTTACTTATTTCAATTTTCTGTTAGCAATATTTTCAACCATTCTTAGGTCTATACCATTTCATACGATCAATGCTTGTTAAGCCTTGATCGGTCGACCTGCGTATGCATGGATCGACAAGTCTGAATATGCATGAAATAAAGTTCAAACAGTTTTCTTCATGCACAAGCAATATTCAGTGAAGTTTAGAAAATTTTGAAACTTGATAAATTAAGCATAAATATATGCATGCTTATAAATAGTTTATAATGCATAAGTAATTACCTAACTGGCGAACTTCGCATATATTGTGTGTATGCATGAGCCTATATGGTAATAGATGAATATAAGAAATCAAGCTTTTCATGAACATAGGTGCCTTGCATAGGGGTTGTAAACACGTCACTGGAATACGCTTGTAGACACAAAAAATAGTATATATGTTTCACGTGGTCACAAACGACCTGATCCAAGCTCAAGTTCAAGTTTCAAAGGTTTTCAGGCTGTAGATAAAAGGCATATCAACCTTTTTATTTCCTTTTCCGTTAGATCTCTCTGCAATTCAGTTATTGCTCAGGTATAATCACATAATTATCTTGTTTCGGATTGATGACCACAACTAGTACATGTGTATATGTAACTATCACTGCACCATGTGAACTTCACTGTGAGCGCACAAAATAGATTTTGAGATGATAGTAATTCAAAAATAAGAGCAATTGTGAAGGGGGAATATCTTAAATTAACAACTGATTACATTTCTTAATAGGTCATAGGAATTTCTCCTAGAATCATTACCAATAAATGAATCGGATTTATGTGCACATTATGCTAGCTCGTAACTTTTGAGATGAACGTGAAAAGGACGAAGCCCTACAGAAACAACACAACCTACAGAAACGAAGCCCTACGTGTCAGTTCTTTCATCTTCTTCTCTTTCACCGTCTCACTCTGTTTGGCTACTTCTCTCTTTTATCTCTCTCTATCTCGTTCTTCTCTCTCTCTTTTTTTTTTTATTTTTTTTAACAGTTTCTCTCTTATTGTCTATTTCTCTCTATTCATCTACTTCTTCTATCTTTGCTTTTTTGTCTTATAGTTTTCTTAGCTGATTTTTTTTTTTTTTTTTTTTTTTTTTTCTCTAATTTTTTTTTGCTGTCCATCTCTCTCTGTCTTATTTTTCTGTGTCCTTTTTTTTTTTCTCGGTTAATAGTTTTTTTTGCCGTCCCTCTATCTGTCTTCCTCTCATCTCTGTTTCTCTCTCTTTTCCCCCCCCTTCTATTAGAATGTTGTCTTAAATTATTCCCTAAATCCTGCTGTTTTGTTTTTGTTTGTCTTTTGTGTGTGTGTGATTTTTTTTTTTTTTTAACAGATTTTAAATACTGTAATTTGTTATTCGAATGTATTTTGCTCAATGCAGTTTGATTATATGGTTGATGGATTTAATTTTTCATGTTTCATATTAAATTTTAGAATATTGATATGATTTATGAGGTGTGAATGCTTTTATGGTAGTTTAAAATTTTAAAATTTCAATTGTAAGCTGTGAGGCTTGTGATCCCAGGTTCCAAAGGACCTCTAGTGCCTCGGTGTGCTTTGAGCCTTTAATAACATTGTATGTAACTATTACTTCACCATGTGATCGTCACTGTAAGTCGCACAAAAAAATCATCAAATGATAGTAGTTCTTAAGTAAGAGCAACCGTGAAGGGGTAATATCTTAAATTAACAATTGACTCCATTTCTAAATAGGTCCTAGGAATTTCTCCTAGAATCATTACCAATAAATGAATCTGATTTATGTGCACATTATGCTAGCTCTTAACTTTCCTCACCATGAATTAATAATTATTGTTCTCTAATTTTGTAGGATGGCAGTTGTAGCTGCAATGGCTGGATCATCTGAAACAATCGGATATAGATTTCTTAAAGATTTATATCTGTATTTAAAGCACAAACGTAAGTACATGAAAGAACTTGATAAGAATTATGCAAAGCTCACAAATGGAATAGATGCTCTTCATGCACAAAGAAGAACTATGGAAGACATGTTGACAAGGAATCGGTTAAAAATGGAGAAGGTCAAAGAAGATATTAGAAAGATTGAAGTCAAATGCAAGCGTGCACAGAAGTTGGAGGAACAAGTTGAAAATCTACAAATTGGCAACCAGCAGCAAGCCCGTAGGCATCCAACTGGAAAGCCAGGGTTCTTCACGCTTACAAAGCTCAATAAAGATATTGTCAAATTAACTGGAGAAGTTGCTAAACTCAGAGAGAAAGTGAATGCTGAAAATTTAATGACCGAGATTATACCTGTAGAAATGGGTTTTGAGACAACTATGTCAGCGTCGACCTCAACCTCAACCTCAATGCTTCAGCCAAGTAATGAGGCTGTGACAAAGACTGCAATCAAAATAGAACTGGTCTCCATTGAAGAAGCTTGGCGATTGTTTGAGGAACAGGTGAGTGGAGTCCTTGATTCTCCAAACATTATGAAAATTGCTCAAGAAATAGTTGAAGAGTGTGATGGTTTGCCTCTAACCATCATCGCCACTGGAAAGGCCTTGAGGAATGAAAATGATGTTCTGGTATGGGAGCATGCATTGAGACAATTCCAGCATCTAAGCAAACTCACTGATGAACATGAAGCTGCATTTAGACAATTGGAATTTAGCTATGACAGATTGAAGGATCGTGATATAAAGAGATGCTTCTTGCATTGTGCATTATTTGCGGAGGACCATGAGATTAAGGTTGATCGCTTGATAGAGAACTTTATTGAGGAAGACTTAATTCATGGAATTTCATCCAGAGCACGCAAGAAGGGACAAGATATAATTAAAAGTCTTATCGACTCTTCACTATTGGATAGTGTTAATGGTGGCCTGTCTCTAAGGATACCTTCTGTGGTTAAAGATCTAGGGTTATGGATAATGTCATCAAAAATAGATGACTACCAGTATTTTATAAGAACTGGTGTGCAGATTAAAAAGTCACTAAAGGAGGAACCATACCAAGGCAGTACAACTGAAGGTGTTATCTTGTCAGTAGCTGGTGCAGGCCTAACTAGTCCACCGCCTAAGGAGTCATGGGAAGGAAAGAAGATGATCTTCTTGATGAATAATGACTTCTCCAGGCTACCCAAGGAACCAAATTGTCGCAATCTTTTGGCCTTGTTCCTCCAAAATAACAGGAGGTTGGGATCAATACCTGATACATTCTTCAGTGGTATGCCTTTCCTCCGAGTTTTAAACCTATCCAAAACCGGAATTAGGTCTTTGCCGCCTTCTCTATGCGAACTTACTGAACTTCGGGCTCTTATTTTACGCCACTGTGAAAGTTTAGCGGAGCTCCCACCTGAGGTTGGAAATCTTGGAGCTCTCGAGGTGCTTGATATTGAAGGCACTGAGCTTAACAACCTTCCTGATGAGGTTCGCAAACTGGGATCTCTCAGGCATTTGCAGGTCACCTTCTATGAATCTGTTGAACCAACGGAGCCTGTTAATGTGCCGCCTTATATGGTTTCCCGAGGTACTGTATCAGAGCTCGTTGCGCTGCAAGAACTACACATTTTTGTTCCCCGAGCGGTTTGGCGGTGGGATGAGAATGTAGAAGATATAACACGTGATGTGAGCAGATTGAATCAATTGACCAGTCTTCAGCTCCACTTTCCAAATTTAGATGTTCTCGACAAATTTATCGGGAAAAGTCAGCCATGGATAAATAATTCCTTGAGCAAGTTCAACTTTATTGTTGGCCAGATCCCCAAACACACCATTTCCCAAGTCCCTGAAGATATAGAGTTGGATTATGATCAACATGATCGTTGCTTGAGATTTGTGAACGGTGTGAACATACCTAACACAGTTTTGGAAGTACTTGGGCGTGCCACAGCATTTTATCTAAGTCGCCATTACATGATAAAGAGCCTATCAGAATTCGGGATTACTAATATCAAGGAATTGAGATTTTGTATAGTGAGTGAGTGCCCCAATATTCTTGCTGTTATAGACTGTAGGGACAATAGTGAAAGTGCATTACAATACCTTGAACACTTGAGTATTCAGTATTTGTGGAACTTGGAGAGCATTTTCAGAGGTCCACTGCCCCGTGGAAGTTTTAATGGGTTGAAAGTATTGTCAGTCCACAAATGTCCTAAGCTGGATATCATTCTTGACGAGTCCATGCTTCAATGCCTTTCTAACTTGGAGGAGTTGGTTGTTGAATGGTGTGTATCACTACGGAAGATAATAGAAATGGGAGAGAAGACGGAAAATGAAAATTTTGTCATACTCCCTAGTTTGAGAAAATTATCACTTGACGATTTGCCTCAATTAATTAGCGTCTGGAATGGATTTCGTCCATCAATGGAGATCTTGCTCAGCATTGTTTGCTGTCCGAAGTTGGAGATATCTGCACATGATGCTTTTGAGATTTGACTAGGGAGGAGCTGCACTTTTCTCCAGTCTTGGGCTGTCTTTTTTCTCAACACATTGTGACGATCCCTTACATTGCTATTCAGAATTTGTTTGTTTTTCCAATAAACTTACAATTTATGTTATAAGACCATTGTTGTGCTGTCTATTTTCTTTGCATTATAATTTGCCTTGAATGTAAGTAAATTACTCTGAAAGACACCTTCAAAATTAATTTCTCCTAATTGATTAGGGAAAGATTGTTGTTCTATTAGGTGCTGGATAGGAGGGGTACATTACAAGAAAAAGTGCTTGTAGCGGCTAACTATGCCTAAACTTTTTTTTATATGATTTCACATGGCCTCCGTTCATTTCTCTATCTCTTTGTGAAAAATGCTCATCCGACTCTGTCTCTCTCACTAGCACACACCATACCATTTCATTTCATTTTTATCTCTCTGTCTTGACCGATCCTTCATTCCTCTCTCTATGGGCTAGGGTTTCACAAAACATATATTTCATCTCCCTCTACAGACATTCTCTGTGTTCATACATATTCTTCTAACACAACACTAATCTAGATGTATATTAAGTTGGGGCTCATCTTTGTGTTGTTGGATTGAGTTTCTTAAGATCCATCGATTAAGGAACCATTAATTGCGTTTTGGAGCTGAGAGAGACAGTTAAATTGCATTTTATCAAAGTCCTACATAGTAGATCTTTCAGTCTCCGACGGCTCACTACTCTCTCTCTAGGGTTTTCACAATCCCAAACACAACGTCCATGAGCACCATCTGGTTTGTTTGTGCAATTTTTGTTCCCATTTCCTTCGATTAAAGCCCCTTTAACGATTCATTACTTTCCATTTGAGTGTTCAATTTTGATATGTTTATGCAATTGTGGTCGATTTGAGCTATTTGAATTTAAATTCCTTGTCATGTCATTCGGAGAAATTGTTTTGATTGGATGCTTTGGATTTAATTTATAAATGATATATATACATATATATGCAATTGTGTTTGCTACGCATGTATGCATAATTTGCTAAGGATTATATAAATACATTTAGTAGCTTTATATTTTTTATTTGTATATACTATTTTTGAACAGGCCTATTTACAGCAGTTGGAATTAAGGGACCAGAGGACTATGCGCACATGGGAGGGTGGAGGAGGGCCGTGATTCTTCAGTCCGGGAAGTTTCTTTCTACGGCCATACTTTCCATTTAGGGTTTTGTTGGATTAGAGAAACCCACCAAGATTTGGACACAGACGGAAATTTGAATGCTCAGGTGATACTTTCTCTTGCTTGGTGTTCAAATTTTGGGATGTTGCCCTAGATTTTCTTCTTAGGCTCAGTTTGTTTGAATGTTAAAAAAAAAAATTTATTTAATTTTTTTTTACTGTTTGGTTGTTGTAAAAAATATATATATATTAAATCCTAACAAAAATAATTTACCCATCAATTTTCGGCAAATTATTTTACATTAGTCTCCACTCGATGGACTCGACTTCAATCTCGACCTAGAAAGAAAAATATTTTTCGAAGAAAATATTTTAGGTTTAAACACACGGAGCATTAATTCAAAACACAAGTAACTTTGAATTCCTGAATGTGAAGTGAGAATTTGATTGGCTTGGGACAATAGTAGTCCGGATAAAGGAATTATTACATATACATGGTGTTATGGACCCATATTTACTATTTGATGGAGTCAAAGCCTCATAATTTTGAAAAAATGAAGTTGACCAAAATACTGACGTGGAAAAATATTGTTCATTTGCCCAAACTATCCTCACAGAAGTACCACTTTTTGTGCTTTACAAAAAATGGTACATGCATGCACAAAAGATGGTACTTATGTGCATAAAAGTGGTATATCTATGTTCAAAACAAAAGTGGTACCTGAAAATAGTACGGGTAGTTTGGACAATGAATAGTGTTTTTCCATGTCCACATCAGCATTTTGGTGAAGTTTATTTTTTTTCGAAATATCATGATTTTGATTCCATCATCAAATGGTAAATATAGGTTCATAACACCATGTATGTGTAATAATCCCAAGGATAAATAGGTTGAGGAGGAATGAGAGGATTTATATGAGTCAGAGAAGAGTAGAAATTGGTGAATTTTTTTGTTAAACTTCTATGATTTAAGGGTTCATTCTTTTTACAGAGCAGCTGAAGTTGATTTAAATGATAATTTAAGTGAACCAGATCTGTTAGGGAGGCAGGTTGAGGATAAGCTGATTAATTTTAGGTTGGCCTGTGTTGGTAGGTTTGACATATTTCTAGATTGATTCACTTGTGCATGGAAAATAATGTAAGGAACAATCTTTTTTCCAAACTAATGCACTGATTTTTTACTGTCAACCAGGATAATAATATTAAATAAAATTTAACTGAAACCACTTCTTGGATTCCTAAACAGGTCATAGAAGTTTGAATATGAATGCATCAAATATTTGGATAGTATATTCGAAGAAGAAGTATAAAATGGATGGGTTTCAAGAGAGATGCTAGAGATTCAGAGATGTCAGAGACAGAGAGAGGAAATGGGCTAAATATATATAGAATTGAGAGGGGCAAATTCATGGCCGTTTAGAGGAAAAATACTTTAATGCTCCTGGTATATTGATGACATTGTATTACCAACTAATTAAATTAAAATGCTGACACATACTGATAGGACCTACATAAGTAAATGGTGACATGACATAATTGGTTAGAGTTTATCAACCGTTTTGAGAATTCCTTTTAAGTGTTTGAACTTCATTTTTTTTTCAAAAATTAAGTGTTTGAACTTCATGGTTTTGTTTATTTTATACATCTTTTGCATTCCACTTGAGCCCAAATTCGTATAATTGCTTCCACATGCCAACATATGGCCGCGAACCAATTCCATTCTTTTCCCAAAACATTACCAATTGAACCTAAGCTTTTCTCACCCATTCTTTCAAGAGTGTGAATGAGAGTGACTATGATTTGATACCTCTCTGCATGAGAAGATCATGGAAATGTTTAAGAGATTAAATGTTTGGATACTAATGTGCTTAAATGGTTAATTAAGAAAAATCATTGGACGCAATAATTTTCTTTTTATTTGTCTTTATTTCTTTTGATACCATTGTCACTTTCCTTCGTTCTCGCGGCTATAAAACAATCAGGCTTTTCATGAGCATCTGTGCCTTGCATAGAGGGTTGTAAACACGCCACTCGAATAAAGCTTGTAAACACTAAAAATAATATATATGTTTCATGTGATCACAAGCTAATTAGCTGAGGTTGCTTACAAACAACCCTAGCCAAGCTCAAGTTCAAGTTTCAAAGGTTGTCAGGCTAGATCAATCTTTTTATTCTCTTTTCAGGTATATCTCTCTGCAACTATTTTCTTGCTACGGTACAATTACATAATTTTCTTGTTTTGGATCGATAACTAAAACTAAAATACGTGTATATATAATTATCACTGCACCATGTGAATGTCACTGTAAATCGCACAAAAAATGTCATGAAATGATTGTAGTTCTTCTTTTAAATAAGAGCAACCGTGAAGGGGGAATATCTTAAATTAACAATTGATTACGTTTCAAAATTGGTTCTAGGAATTTCTCTTAGATACCATTTCCAATAAATTAATCTGATTTATTTGTACATTATGCTAGCTCTTAACCTTCCTCACTATCAAAGTACGTTAAATCTGGATGCTCTAATACAGCTTTGATAGGAAAGACACTGATATATTATGAATTAAAAATTATTGATCTTGGGGTTTGTAGGATTGAACCTGTAGGCTATAGACGCGATGGCTGGGTCATCTGAAACAATCGCATATAGCTTCCTTAAAAATTTATATCTGCATTTGAAGCACAAACGTAAGTACGTGAAAGAACTTGATAAGAATTATGCAAAGCTCACCAGAGAAATAGATGCTCTTTGTGGACAAAGAAGAAATATGGAAGAAATGGTGCTAAGGAATCAGTTTAAAATGGATATGACAAACCTGCATAGAACTCGGATTCATCAAATGGAGAAGATCAAAGAAGAAATGAGAAAGCTTGAAGTCAAATACAAGCGTGCACAGAAGTCGGAGGAACAAGTTGAAGAAGTTGAAAATCTAAAAAATGGCAACCAGCAGCAAGCCAGTAGGCATCCAACTGGAATGCCAGGGTTCTTCACGCTGACAAAGCTCAATAAAGACGAAGTAAAATTAACTGGACTAGTTGCTAAACTTAGAGAGCAAGTGAATGTTGGAAATGTAATGACGGAGATTATACCTGTAGAAATGGTCTCTTATGAATCTGAAGGAGAAAAGATTTGGGTAGGAGCAAAGCACACATGGCTTCTTGTTTTTAGCAAGGGATCCCCTGAGACAACTATGTCAGCCACATCCTCAATGCTTCAGCCAAACATTATGAAAATTACTCAAAAAATAGCTAACGGGTGTGGTGGTTTGCCTCTAACGATCATTGTCACTGCAAAGTCCTTGAGGAATGAAAATGATGTTCTGGTATGGGAGCATGCATTGAGACAATTCCAGCATTTTAGCAAACTCACTGATGAACACGAAGCTGCAATTAGATGATGGGAATTTAGCTATGACAGATTGAAGGACCGTGATATAAAGAGATGCTTCTTGCATTGTGCATTGTTTGCAAAGGACCATGTGATTAAGTTTGATGACTTGATAGAGAATTTTATTTACGAGGAGTTAATTCATTCAAGTTAATCCAGAACATGGAAGAAGCACGATATAATTAAAAGTCTTGTCGACTCTTCATTATTAAAGAGTGTCAATGGTGGCCTGTCCCTAAGGATTCCCTCTATGGTTAAAGATCTAGGGTTATGGATAATGTCTTCAAAAATAGATGATTACCGGTTTTTATAAGAACTGGTGTGCAGATTAAAAAGTCACTAAAGGAGGAACCATTCCAAGGCAGTACTACAGAAGGTGCAATCTTGTCAGGAGCTGGTGCAGGACTAACTAAGCCACCGCCTGAGGAGGTATGGGAACGAAAGGAGATG